CACACACACACACACACACACACACACACACACACACACACACACTGTGCATGCTCTGTAGTGTTAAAGCAAGACAGGATGTCGCTGAGTAACTTACTGGGAGTGGAGGGGAAAAAAATACAGATAATTAGTCACAGGGGAGAAGATGGTGTGGAGAGGTCTAAAGAAAACTTTTGTTTACAGACAGAAAAAGAAGAGTCATTGTGATTGTGCTTAAAACGAGAGATATCTCTGTACAGAGTACTCTGAGGACTGCAGACAATTTCAGCTATTTAAAAACAACTGGAAGCGCTTTGCTCTGTCACTTACCACTGACCTCATTTTAAATTGCTTTACATTATCCTCTATTGCCCCCAAATACACAAGCGCTCTATACAAAGTGTCCTGAATTGTCTCTGGTCCTCCTCCCATGGCCAAAAAAGTTTTTCTCATATGATCAAAGTTTGTTGCAAATGACACTGTACAACGTAGGTCTAATAAACTGAAACTAAAGCTTGATGTATGTAGACTGTATGAGAATTTCTTCTTCTGTGTTTCGTCCTCAAGTTTGAATAGGGCTGCTACAACTGGGAATGGATTTCTTTTTTTCTTTTCTTTCGCTACTTGGCTCATAGATATGGACACTTTGATATGAACCGATGCCATGTTTTTTCATAATGACCTTTCATTTAGGACAGTGCACAGCATATACCCAGCCTAAAGAACAAAACAACACAAAAAAGAGGGACAAATATTATTTCCCAAACTTGAAAGACACCAAAACTTTGTGTTTTTAAATATTCATGCTCTAATCTCGTTTTGGAACACAAATTATCATTTAACTATAGATTCTTCCTGTCATCCCATCAAGCAGCCTTAAAGAGACTACAAGCTGCTCTATATTTAGACAGCTAGACCATAGAAGGACTGCACAAGCTTCACTGTAAGAGGCTGAAATCAGTAGAGCACATTAAGTGATATAAACAGAAACTGCTGTTACTGTAAGTGAAGAATAATTGCATGTAATAATAAATGTATTGTGAGCAGATAAAATACCAGACCATAAATCTGCTGCCTCTTTCTGAGGCATGTTTGCTTCAGTTGCTTTTTAAGAGAAACAAGCTCACAAATGCAAGTTTAAGTGCAGCATATGCAACATGATACACAAATACCCATCAGCATTTTACACCAGTGGCCTCTGAAGCAATGCAACCAGTTTCTGTGTCAAACGTTTCTGCCTGAAGAAGATGGGAAGCTTTAGGTGCTAGCTGTGTTGAGGTGGTGCCATTTCACAGCCTTTTAATCCTAAAGAGAAATTAAAATGATGCAAAGCAGCATCAGGTGAGGTAACATCAAGAAATGAGTGCTCCACCTGACCTGTGAAAACATAGACATGGTGGAAATGGGAATCAATGAGAGAGCTTTTAAGATTGGCAAATCTTAAGACTGTGGGAGGTGTGGGGGGAGGGGGGATACAGAGCTGATGAGACAGTGTGCTGGCAGCAATCCAGAAGCTCACTTCCTGCTTAGGAAGCTTTGGTGACATCACTTCTCTCCCATAATGCACTCTGAGTCTGAGAATAGAAAAACACATCCGTTGGGAAAGGGCGACCCTCGCAAGACACGGTCACACAGACGGACACAACTGTTTTTGACATTAGAAAAGAATCTGCTGGCATACTTTGTAAAGTGGAGCTCAATATATCTTTGAGCGGCTCTAAAATGTGGAGAAACTGTATCACTACTTCCCTTGTTTTAAAATTGATGCTATTAATCATTTAAGGATAAGGTGTGGTTTGCACCAAGCGTGACATAAACTGCAGCACAAGTCTGTAGCTGCTGATCGTGACCCTGTTGTTATCTCACTTAGTTGCAAGTCCAAGAAGAACGCTGCACGCACAAACAGCACATCAGTATTGCTGTGCTGTACTGACTCAGTCCATACATGCATTGACTCATGTCCAGTCAGCCATTGTTGGTGACTAAAACACCCACATAGGTGATCTCTGTGGCATTGGGAACAATAAGCCTCCACATACACGCATCCCACATGTTTCTCCGCACGCTCACGCCCGCCTTTGTTCACAGGAAACCGTCCCACTAGATCGGTTCTCACAACATACGTGGACATACGGAGCCAAAGAAGCTGTGTTCCTGCCCTCTTTTCTTAGATCAGAATTTAGTTCCTCGGCAGACTAGAGCGTTCAAATGGCCCGGTTTACCCCTATGTCATGAGTTTGACAACTGAAGTTGGCCTGTCATCTTCTCATTACCAGAGTGGGGAGGGAGTCAAACTAATGAGTCACAGGGGAGAAGAGGAAAGATGAGAGCTGAGAGGAAGAGAGAGAAAAATTGTTGTTTGGGGGAGGGCTTCTTTCAGAATAAGTCTTTCATCGTTTGGTGAAGCAACTTTGTAGCAACTTGTTACCTCTGCTTCAGGAACATTTAGGTGAGAAGAAAGAGGGTTAGTCCAGAGGCCTTGATGAAAAATAAGCTTCATCTTTCATGTAAATATGCAAACAGGTATACAAAAAATTAAATATATTGATTAACTAAAAGTAGGGATGATTGTAGTTGCTTTCCATCATCTAAATATGACAGGAAGGAAAAATAAGAGGGTTTCCCTTATTTTCCACTTTTCACAAATGTCGTGTCCAACTATTTTGTTACTCTTGTGTGTGTGTCCAGGATGAAAGCAGTCCTGACAAAGCAAGCAACCAATTATCGGATGATACATGGGACACTCCACCTCCAAAACCTCCCCGCATTCGCAGGTAGGACATTTGTCTGACATTTATTTATTTTTTTCAGTTTATCTCCTTATATCGTTAAATCGTTCCGGCCTGTTTTTCATTAAGGATGTTTGCAACTGGTCGACTCTGCGTTTTAGTTTTCACCTGCTTTACCTCGTCCTCAACACAGATTAGTTAACAAGCCCACACAGGCGTTCACGCCAGGCGAGAGGTGGCTTGTTGGAGAACACTGTGAACACACAAAACACACAGAAAACATATTTAAAAAAAAAAAAAGAAAAAGAAATAATATCCCAGTATTTTGTTACAGTGTAGCTCCCCATCAGCCCAAAGTTACAAACAGCCTCCACTTTACCAAAGTTAACTTCTGTTTGGCTGCTGCTCCTACTGGAGGAGGAGCTGTATTTATAGATCATTTTGCAATACTTTGCAATGCTCTGCAACACAACATGGCATTGAACACACCACAACCCAAGGCTAGTTAAAGTAGAACTGTTACATTTTTCATCTCCTTCTCTTTGAGAACAAACAGTCCTTTATGCAAATGCAGTTAATTTATTTCAAACACATACACACACTTTATCTGCCGCATTCATAAATACAGATTTCTTTTCTCTTATTCTTTGTCATTCAGTCTTATACATTTTTCCTCCATCTTATTACTCAATTATTTTATTATTATTATTTTAAATCTTGCTTCTCTCTGCTGTCTTTTGTCTCTTCCTTTCGGGCCTGCAGGGGTGTACACTTTTCTTACAGCCCTCTTTCTTTCTACTCATGATGTATCCACACCTGGAAATATCCTCTCCCCGTTAACACAGCAACACTTTATAACTGCACTTTATAGCAGCACGGTGGCACAGTGGTTAGCACTGTTGCCGCACAGCAAGAAGGTCCTGAGTTCAATTCCACCATCAGGCC